ACCAACTGAACCAGCCAGGCACCCCAGGACTCTTGAGGTTTTTAAAATCTCTTGATAGCAAGATCCTGCCTCCTGAATCATTGCTGGGTCTACCCACCAAGGAGAAGAGCTGAAAATTTCTCCAGAGCCAGATACCTTCCTGCACTACCTGAGGTCACAGTGCAGGGCTTTTGTGGACAGGGCTCCCAGATGTAAAGTTTAGAAATTCTGCTTCAGTATCATCCCACAAATTTTGATATATAGCATATTTTCATTACTGTTTAGTTCAAGTTGTATTCTAATATGTATTGTGATTTCTTCTTAACCCACGAGTGATTTAGAAGCGTTACTTAACTTCAAAACTTTTGAGATTTTTCCAGTTATTTTTTCTTAACAATGTCTAGTGGTCAAGGTGTGTACTTACAGTGATTTTCAATCTTTTGAAATTTGTTGAGCCTTGCTTATAGTCTATTTTGGAGAATATTCCGTGGGTACTTGGAATGAATCTGTAGCTTCAGTTGCTGAAGGTTGCATTCTATGACAATAAAAAAGGTCGATTTTGTTAATAATGTTCATATATTTGGGGTGCCTGGGTGGCTTAGTTGGTTAAGCATTTGACTCTGATTTCAGCTCAGGTCACGATCTCAGGGTGATGAGATCGAGCTCCATGTCGGGTTCCATGCTGAGTGTGGAGCTTCCTTGGGATTCTTGCTTAGGATTCTTTCTCCCTCTCTCCTCCTCCCTCCCCTCACTATCCCCCCCCCTTAAAAAAATAATGTTCATATATTCCACATCCTTATTTGTCTATCTGCTTTTCTATCAAATACTTGGAGAAGTGTATTTAAATCTCAAGCTATGAGGATGGATTTGTTTACCTCTTTTACTTCTGTTATATCTTGAGACATACTATTAGGTTTATGTACAGTGGTATGCTGGCAAATGTATAACAATCAACTATTTAAAAAAAAAAGGAAAAGAAAGAGTCTTGATTTGTAGAATTTGCCAATACCCATGGATGGTGTAAATATTCATGATATGGTCAATTTTAAGTTACCAATGTGACATCACTGAATACTGTATTGGGAAGAGATGTTTATAATTATCTCTTGTGAGTTGGTATGAGCGAACTCCAGCAGTCATTCTAAATGTTCATGCACATTTAGAATTATTACATCTTTCTGTTCAAGTAGTTCCTTTATTATTGTGAAATGGCCCTCTTTTATCTAGCAGTGCTTTCTGCCTTAAATTATTATTTGCCTGATATTAATATATTAACCCTATCTTTTTTGGCTAATATTTTCATAGTGTATTAGTTTTCATCATTTACTTTCAACTTATCTGTCCCATTTTTTAAAGATTTATTTATTTATTTGAGAGAGAGAGCCCGGGGGGGGAAGGGGCAGAGGGAGAGAATATCTAAGCAGACTCCTGCTGAGCAGGGAGCCCAGCAGGGAACTCGATCCAGGAGCCATGAGATCAGGTCCTGAGCTGAATCCAAGAGTCAGACGCTTAACCAACTGAGCCATCCAGGCACTTGGGTCCCATTTTTTCAAAAGTAATCAGGATATACTTCAATTTTATTTTCTGTTTTTCTCCAATCAGTGTTTATACTTTAATTGGAGTGGTGAATCCATTTACATTTATTGTAATTACTGATACAGTTAAGCTCAAGTCTAACATATCGCTATTCATTTTTTGTGTCATCTCTTCTTTGTTCTTCTATTCCTCCTTTCCTGACTTTTCAAAATATTAATCAAATATTCTTTACTACCTCACTATATCATTTCTATTAGTTATATATCTCCTAATATTGTTTTAAAATAAGCATACTCAAATTATTACAGTCTACCCTTAATCAATACTGTCACTACATTCTAAACTATGTAAACATTAAAACGGTTTAATTTCATTTATTATCTCTTGACATTTTTATTATTATTCTTACATATTATACTTCTGAATTTTTTACAAACACTATAAGACATTGTTATTGATTTTAAATAAAGTCTTTTTAAAATTTTGCTAAAATATATGTAGCACATTATTTATTATTTTTCAGTAGTCTTTTTATTAACCCATATATTTATTTTCTTCAGTTCTGTTCATTTAATATTATCCTTTCTTGTTTATATACGGAATCATTTTCCTTCAGCCTAGAGAGCTTTAGTGGGGTTTTTCGTAGTGTCAGTCTGCTATTGTTGAATTCTCTCTGCTTTTGGATTTTTTGAGAATGTTATTTGTATTCTCCTTCATTTTGCAAGTATGTTTTCCCTGGGTTCAGAGTTCTCTGTTGCCATTTATTTTTCAGCACTTTAGAAATGCCGGCACATTGTTTTCATGCCTCAGTTGTTACTGTTACAAACATACTGTTATTTTTATTGTTCTCCTAAAAGAAATGTGTGTTCTTTTCTCTGTCTGCTTTTAAGATTTTGCCTTTATCTTTGATTTTCAGCAAAGCCTCAGTATGGTTTTTCTTTGTATTTACCCTTTTGGTTTGTTGTGGTTTTTTTGTTTTTTGTTTTTCTTGTTTTGTTTTGTTTTTTGAGCTTTTGAATCTGAGAGTTGATTTTTTTTTTCATCAATTCTGGAAACCTTTGAGCTATTCTTTCTTCAAATATTTCTGTCTTTCCTCTTCTCTAGTTTTGGAATTTTATTTAGACATACACATATCACTTGACTCTGCTCCATATATTTCCTGTACTCTCTTTTATTTGTTATTGGTGTTTTCTACAGTTTTACTATATTCAACTTGGATATTTCTACATCAAACTTCTTCAGATTTGTGTTCTGCTATCTCCATTTGGCTCTTAAGACCATCCAATTTTGGATATTTATTTTGTAATTTTAGTATAACACATGATTATTTTTATAGCATCAGTTTTCTTTTGAATATCTTTGTCTTTTTACTCACATTATCTATTATTTTCCTGTATTTCCTTTAACATACTTAAAGCAGCTATTTTAAAGAAACTTGACACTAATTCTGACATCTGGATCTGACTGTCTACTTCTATGAGCCATTTATTTTTGCTTCATTTCTTGATCACATTTTTTGCTTCTTTATGTGTCTTTTAATTTTTTATCCAAAGCCATACATTTCACATGAAATAAATGTAATAATAATGTTTATATTATTTACCTCCCATTGACAAGTGTTTGCTCTTTCTTGATCTAATCAAGAAGTGAACTCAGATGGGTCTGAGTTGCACTTCTATTTTGAGTCAGTCCACTTCTGGTTTCAAAAGTCTCCAGGTAAATACAGTCTTGGCTTTTTATCAAGTACCTGGTTGGTCTCTTCTTCCTCCATCCCAGAACACTCTGAGAGATTTATCCTGCTTTTCTGATGTTTTGACCTCTGCTCTTAAATCTCACCCTGAGTGACTCAAATATGTCAGCTGTCTTGATGAGGATACAGTTGTATATTTGAAACAAGATCCTTTTCTTATTGGGACTTTTTCTATGAGACTACAGGAACTTTCACTCTACCCTTAAGAAATTACTTAGGCTCCGGGGCACCTGGGTGGCTCAGTTGGTTAAGCGACTGCCTTCGGCTCAGGTCATGGTCCCAGGGTCCTGGGATCGAGCCCCGCATCAGGCTCCCTGTTCGGCTGAAAGCCTACTTCTCCCTCTCCCACTCCCCCTGCTTGTGGTCCCTCTCATGCTGTCTCTCTCTCTGTGTCAATTAAATAAATAAAATCTTTAAAAAAAAAAATAACTGCTTTAAAAAGAAAAGAAAAGAAATTACTTAGGCTCTGGCAGAGCACACTCATTCTGCGGGGAATTCAGAATTTTTCATGTTAGATGTGCCTCCAAAAGTTTGTCTCATTTTTCTTTTCCTCATCACAATCCTCCATTCAGGCAAAGCCTGATCTTCAATCCATACCCAGAGTTGGCAAACACAACCGGATAAGAAATGTCCAAAAACTATATGTTTGCATAAAACAGGCCCTTCCCACTTTGGTTTAGTTCATTTAATCCTTTTTCTTTTCACAGTTTCCAGTTCCTTTCAACACACACACACACACACAAACACACACACACACACACACACAGGAGTTTGTTGTTGTTTTTCCAATTTGCAGTAAGAATGTTGTTCTGTTCCATCCTATTCCATCCTATTTGGAATGTTCCCATTCAAGTTTGTATCATCTTGGCATGCTTTATTTTTCTAAATAGAATTTATCTACCTGTAATGCATATGATACATCTATTTAATTACTTATTTAATAACTAACTTCCCTAGTAGAATGGAAATACTTGAGAACAGGTACTTTGTCTCTTTTAAAATTTATTGTTTTTTCTTCAGCACTTAGAATAGTGCCCAGTATTTTCCAAATCAATGAATGAATAGTAGAATGCAGCGCAGCAGTTAAGAATAATATATATAATATATCCCCCATACTCCCTGCCTAAGAGGTCAGAGATAGCAAATGTTCCCTTATGTTCATTTTAAAACTTTCCATTTGTACATAAATTCCAGCTGGCAGATATTATCATTAACCTCACCTTTGATGACTTTTGTGTGTGCTATACTTGCATTCCCAAAGGATAAGTCACTTTTAGCTTTCTACAGTGGCTGTCTCTATTGTTCCATAATCTTCATGAAGTGGCATGCACTTGCAGCTTCTCAATTTATTTTTATGTCTAATGTAGTGATAAAATAATAAATAGAATCATTATTTTGATTAAAAAATACAGTAAAGGAGGGAGGGTATGTGCTATGGTGAGTGCTCTGAATTGTGTAATACTGATGAATCACAGACCTGTACCTCTGAAACAAATAATACATTACATGTTAAAAAATACATATAGTAAAGGAAAACTATTTCTATGGAAAGCTATTTTTACAAATTTATGTTGATTCAATTTCTGTAAGGTAAAAAATATATTTTATATATGTTAAGACATACTTTTGGATGGACCTGTAACAGCATAGGTATTTTTAAAAGCAAAAATAACCTAGACATATTGTAAATTTAAATAAGCACTTCAAGCACTTACTTTGTTCTTATTGTTTATAGATTGCAAAGGACCTCCTCCAAGAAAACAGACTGAAGTTTTGTCTGGTGCCTGGCCTGAACAAACATATCCAGAGGGCACGCGGGCTACCTATAAATGCCGACCTGGATTTAGAACTCTTGGAGCTATTATAATGGAATGCAAGAATGGAGAATGGGAGTCTCTTAATCCCTTGAGGATATGTCGGGGTAAATAATTCATATATTTGTGAAATTTATGAAAACTTAATTATTAAAATACTGAATATTTGATATTATAGCAATATTAGCTGAATTATATCATAACTGTCATTTAAATACAAAATCATAAGGTGTTGTAATCTTCTTAAAATAAAAAAAACCCAACCATACAGATAAGTTTAATTTTAAAATGATAATTGACATTTTTCACTTTTGCACATCTTCAACTATGTCCTCTGATTTAATATCAAATGTCATTTTCCTTGAACTCCTACATAAAATGTGTTTCCCCGTGCTACATAATAATATCATTATTTTTTTCATTTTAGAAAGGCCCTGTGGACATCCTGGAGATACTCCTTTTGGTTCTTTTCATCTTGAAAGAGGAAATGAGTTTGTATATGGTGCAAAGGTTGTTTACACATGTGATGAGGGGTATGTAGTTAATATTAAAAGAGGTTTATAGTTGAGGCAGTTATAATTTAGGTAGTAAATAGGAACTTTACTAATTAGTATTTTTCTATGAGCATTTTTTTCAGCTTGCTTTCTTTTTTTTATTATTATGTTATGTTAATCACCATACATTACATCATTAGTTTTTTTCTTCTATTTTTTTATTATGTTATGTTAATCACCATACATTACATCATTAGTTTTTTTCTTCTATTTTTTTATTATGTTATGTTAATCACCATACATTACATCATTAGTTTTTGATGTAGTGTTCCATGATTCATTGTTTGCGTATAACACCCAGTGCTTCATTCAATACGTGCCCTCTTTAATACCCATCACCAGGCTAACCCATCCTCCCACCCCCCTCCCCTCTAGAACCCTCAGTTTGTTTTTCAGAGTCCATAGTCTTTCATGGTTCATCTCCCCCTCTGATTTCCCCCCCTTCATTCTTCCCCTCCTGCTATCTTCTTCTTCTTTTTTTTTTTAACATATAATGTATTATTTGTTTCAGAGGTACAGATCCGTGATTCAACAGTCTTGCACAATTCACAGCGCTTATAAGTACCATACAAGTGGTCTGAAAAATTAAACTATAATGGAAATGATTATATTTGGATAACAAATTATCTCCCTAACATTGAAAAATTAAAATGATTATAATTACTCTGGTAGAGAGTAGTTATAGGGGGGCTGAAAAATAGTATACATATAAATAAGGGTTTATTCCAACAAGTCCTGACTACATTCTATTATGTGCAGAATACATGGGAGTTCAATATGTCAGGGACAGTGGGAATGTTAACAGAATCAGATTACATGGCACCTCCCTTGATAAAAGCTTATAAAATTTAGGAGAAGCAAATATTTTACACTGACATAATAGTAACTACCATTCTTTAAGTTTCCATGGTCTGCAAATTATTCTTATCACATGAACCAAAAATGCTACTATGTTCATAGTGATTGACTTTTTGTCCTCTAACCACCTACTAGATTTCCATGGCTAATCTTAACACTGTGATACCTCTTCAGTGTTCTTTATTTCTGTTATTCCCAGCCAGCTCAAAAAATTGTTTTGAAGAAAGTTTCATACATGAGAAAACCAATATCATTACAATTTTATGCTACATAAATATAAATAGGACCAAGAAATTATAAATTGGGGGCTCCTGGGTGGCTTAGTCAGTTAATAAAGTGTCTGCCTTCAGCTCAAGTCATGATCCCAGGGTCCTGGGATGGAGCCCCAAGTCAGTCTCCCTGCTCCGTGGGGAGTTGGCTTCTCCTTCCCTCTCTTCTCCCCGCCCACCCACTCTCTCACTCTCTCTCTCTCTGTCAAATAAATAAATAATCTTTTTAAAATAAGAAATTACAAATTGATTCTTATTATTCTCTTCTCATTTATTTCTTGATTTGAAGCAATAAAATATAGTATTTTAAAGCTTAGGCTTTGGAGTAAGCCTGCATCCCAAAACTCCACAACTCAGTAACTGTATTATCATTTTAATGACTCTTAACTCCCATTTCCTCAATTCTAGAAATAGAAACACAGCAGGTGCATCATAGGATTGGTGGAAGAAATAAATAAGATACACACTGAAGCCCTTTGAAGAGTTCCTAAGATATTGACATCCAATAAGTTCTAGTTCTTATGAATTTAGGCTCTCTTTGGCCACTACCTGAGGGAGATATTTCAAAGACATTCTTAGCCCAACTTTCAATCATTACTTCTGACTTTAATTACACATGACCAAATAGATGAAGACCATCTGGGCCTACACTTTCCAACTGCCTCATTCCTCACCTCTGAAATATCTCTTTCAATCCAGGCTAGTCTGGCCCCTGTAGGTTCCACATTTGACCTGGCAAAAGGGATCAAAACTCGGGACATCTGGGTGGCTCAGCCAGTTAAACATCTGCCTTCGGCTCAGGTTATGATCCCAGGGTCCTGGGATTGAGTTCCACATCAGGCTCCCTGCTCAGCAAGGAGCCTGCTTCCCCTCTGCCTGCTGCACCCTCTGCTTGTACTCTCACACACTCTCTCTCTCTGGTAAATAAATAAATAAAATCTTCAAAAAAGGGGGGGATCAAAACCCATAGACTCCTTCTACTAGATTCCCTAAATCTCAGTAATAAAAAATATTTATAATTTGGTAAAGAAATTTGCCACATACTTCACCTCTGACTCTGCCTCTGCTTAATTCATCTTTGCTTCCTTCTGTTTGTATAAATTATGGGCAACCTCTGCTAGAGACTCTATAAGAGTAACTATCTCCACCATTCAGTGTGGGCCTCCAACAAGGACTAGATATTCATCAGTGAATTAAAAGTCCTTGGACCTTGCAAAATAAGCAATCATCAATATTTTATGCTATTTTTAAATTTTTTGAGGGATTATTTTACCTATCTGAAGGAATGTAACTCTTTTGACCCAGTTGTGGAATCAGTGTAGAATGGGTTTACTATGCCTATGGTTCTGCCAGTCAACTGACCCTCTTTTGATCCCTTGTCCCTATCTACCTTTTCTCTTCTGAATACCAATTTAGCTGAATACTAACTACTTATCAGGATATTCAATATGGATATCCAGTTTCAGTATCCTGTAGATAGGTAGTTTTAAGGAAGCATTCTGCAAAAAGTTTTTCTGGTATTTTGCCTGGCTGGGGTTGCGGAAACATGCTGTTACTTTTCCCCAACCACCACCATTTGGACAATCTCTTTTTCTTCCCCCTTTCCTTATATATATGGGCCTTAGGCAGTTTTATGTAGCATTTTGCAGAATTCCTGAAAGAGCTTTGGGGGAACGGGTGGGTGTCTGGTGTAGATGGAAAATGTTAACCAGGAAATCCACTTTCTATGGTGGAAGGGGGTACAAATAGAGGAGACAGAGAAGGAATTTTAATAGCCAATTATTTTGTTTCTTTATATAACAGAGACATAGAGTAAATGTTTAACTTCAAGTTTTGTGACTCTCATTGAATGCATTGAAATGTTTTCTTCCTTTAGAGAATTAAGAACAAATCAGTAAGTTTTTCTTTTCTTGTGTAATAGGTGAAATAATCCTTACTTGCAGATGAAGGAAATATTTGTCTAGGTAGAATTATTTAGAAGTTTATAAAAGCTCTGTTCTCAAAATTATCTCTCTTGTGGTTATCAAAATGCTGCCCATTATTTTGTTTTTGAGAAAAAGCTTTTTACCTCTAGCTGTTCACTGTAATATTAAGAAGGATGCTTTGCCTTGATCTAAAGCCTCTGGTAATGATTGCACATTTTACATCTGCCCCAAGGAACTCCCATTCAAGTAGAGCATTTTAGATTTTAAGGATGGGCTTAATGGGTTACCACAGTTAGATAAATTTGACATTGAATGGGTTATATATGCAGACCTGACTCGATGACTACACTCTGGAAAAATTAATTAATTAAAAATAATTTAAAAAATTAAAATTAAAATAAACCACATGCTAAGAAATTTGGACTAGTGCTATCCTTGATTATGTAAAAAGTCCAAAATGTTCCAAAAATATCATAATTGTGGAGGGTAGGAGTATGGAACAAGACTGGAGGAAAGGTAACATATTGTTAGCTCTTGATTACTGCCATGTTTTTGGATTTTGGTTTGGGTTCAAAGAGGTTATAACATTGTTAAGTGTAACTAACTAACTGACTCAATGAAAATATAAAAGTATATTAAGTACAAAATCATAATGAATTCGTGTTGTGAACCAAAGATTATGACTATTCCAAGTCCATGTGCCTGAGGGCTTGAGGGCCTTTCTTAAGAAAGAAGCTTAAGAAAGAAAGAAAAGAAATTTAAGAAAGAGAGAAAGAAATTTAAGAAAAAGAAAGAGAAAAAAAAAGGAAAAGAAAGAGGAGGGGAGGGAGAGAGGGAAGATGGAAAGGAGGAAGGAAGGAAGGGAGGGAGGGAGGGAGGAAGGAGGGAGGGAGGGAGGAAGGAGGGAGGGAGGAAGGGAGGAAGGAAGGGAAGGAGAAACGAAGGCAGGAAATGCATATGCTGTTAATTTTCTCTGAAATGGAGTTTCTGGACGTTCAGAATGGTATCAAAATTGCATATAAATACACATTAGCTCACCACTCCGTTATTTTTGGTTTTCAGGTATCGGTTGCTAGGTAGGATTAATTTCCGTGAGTGTGAACCAGATGGATGGACCAATGATGTTCCTCTTTGTGAAGGTATATGTAAAATTGATTTACCAATATATTCAAATATTTAAAATATCTAAGAGTTTTTGAGATGTCTTACATTAAAATATCCATAAAATTTGTAATTAAATATTTTTTACTTAAAGTATTTTTGTAGCTTCTAATATAGTACAGAATGGATATCTAAGCTTTTTATTACTACATTATTTTGTGTTTCATTAACCAAATATGAATATAGACTCATCTGACCTAATATTCAAAGTATTAGAGATTAGGAAATCTAAAACCTATTTTCCTTTCCTTTTGGATTCTAAACACTAGAAAAAACAAGCATCAGAATTTCAGCTTTATTCATGAAGATATTCTCACCCAATAACCACCCAAATGCAAGGATCTCTGGTAACAGCTGAAGTGAAGAACGTGATTTAGACATTTCTCCCCTCTTGTGTGGCAAGGGAGATTTTCCTGTGGTCTTAGTCCTACTGAAAAGAGACAGGAAGTAAGGGAGAGCTCTGCTTTTTCTTACTGATCCATAAGGCAAAGCATAAGAATAAGAAAATATAGATCCCATTTCCAAATTTTGAGTTAATAATCCCAATCTCTAGTCATCGTAGAAATAAGAGAAATGAGTCAGAATAGTCTTAATTCCATGGTGAGGAATAAGTAGAGGGGGAGAGGAAAAGAGGAGGGACAGAAGAAGGGAGAGAGGGAGGAAGGAGGAAGAGCAAGGAAGAGGGGGAGGGAGGAGAAGAAGAAGGGGGAGGAGGAGAGCTTTCATCTATGGAAATGGGAGGTGAAGATCTAAATGCTTTAAGAAACATCTACTCTGAAATCACCTAAGGTGTTTATCTAACGCTGAAAATTGTGGTTACTAAAAACCTACTAAACCCGTATCGCTTGGGTAATAGGGCAGGGAGAAAGCCACAGAACTTCCATTTTAATTCTATCCTGGATGATTCTACTATAAAATAAAGTTAAAATGGCATAACCTAAGAGATATTGGAAAATATTAAGTAAAATCAAAAGGAGCACTTAAATTATTTTGAGCACTAACATGGAAAAGGAAGGAAAATTAAGGACAATTTGTCTATTGAAGTAAATAGAATCAGAAAGTTTGCTTTTATACCTTTTAGGAACACAGCGTTATATTATTCTAGGGCTTAAATGAAAATTTTTATTTGATTATCCCAAGCTTTATATTTTTCAGTTATTTAAGAAACACTTGTTTGTTACTATAACAATGTAAACTGTCATTCAAAGAAGTAATTTTCTTTGTCCATTCTCATAGAAAAGAATGAGAGATAAACTTATTGTTGTTTTTTTTTTTAGCTTACTCGTCTTTGTATCCAACAGTTTTATCAAATACTTCTTTAAAAAAATTAAGTAATTTCCCCCAATCTTACTTTGCTGATGATTTTATCCATATATGTGAATATATACATACTTTTCATAATAAAGGTGTCAAATTCTATTAGGAAAAGTCATATTTATTTTTTCAGTTGTTAAGTGTTTACCAGTGACAGAACCAGAGAATGGGAGATTTACCAGTACTGCATTGGAACTAGACCAAGACCATACTTTTGGACAAGTAGTACGATTTCAGTGTAATTCAGGCTTCAAGCTGGATGGGCCTGCAGAAATCCATTGCTCAGCAAATGGTGTTTGGAGTGGAGAAACACCGAAATGTGTGGGTAAGATACACCTACCATTCATGTGATTGAATGATTTTAGTTTTTCTCATGAAAATATGCATTTTCAAATATTGTGCATCCTAAAGAATATGAATAATACTAATAACTAACATTTACTGAACACTTACTATTTGCCAGCAATTGATCCAAGTTCTTCACATGTGTCATTCCATTTTACCTTCAAAATGTCTGTTACTTATGCTCTATTTTATTGTAAAGGAAACTGTGGTGCAAAAAAGTTAAATCTCATGCCCAAGGCTATCATGGCATAGATGGAGAGTTAAGATTCAAACCTCGATCATCTGAAACCAAAGTCCATGGTCTTAACCATAATTAAATTATGATTGGTTTTCATGGCTCAAATAGACTAGTAAGCATTTCTGCTGCAAGTTTTAATATTGGCCTGTAGAATAGGCTTTCTTTTAATTTGAAAAGTGAATAATTCATTGTTTATTTCCACTGATGAATCATGATGACCTTCTGTGCTTGAATAATACTTCTAGAAAAGGGTCCTGTTTTATATATACACAGTGAGTTTAGATAAGTGTGTGGAACTGAATTGCATCCACTAAATAAATTTTTGCCTTTTAAAAAAAAGTTCTATAGTAAATTGTAAGTTAAGATTTCTTTAGTTATAATACTGCTGTGACCAGTCTGATGATTGGGGCTTTTGTAATGAAACATTATGGTCAATTTATTTAAAAGTGCCATACTTCATATTACCAGTACTTGTGCAGCAGAAATTTCTGCCATATTTATTTTTTAACATACCTAAAATCTCTTGATTATTTTCACTTTCCTAGTCTAGTCTATCCAACAGTGAGATGCAGAGAAAAGTATTCCTCTGCTTAAAAACTCTTTCTAACCAAACTAGTTCCCCAAGTCAGTAATGGTAAACATATTTATATTCAACACAGCAAATACTGTATGTTCTAGAGGTTCACAGAGGGGGTTTCCTTCTTAAAACTAAATTTCTGTGGTTAGTGAAATGTTCCTGGAATAACTAATGCATATGTTTCAAATGAAGTTGAGGAGGGGGAAAGCATACTAGTCACAGGAACATATGGAGAGGAATGCAAATACAAGGCCGCTTCCACGAATATGAGGCTCCCCTGTTCTCATGTCCTTGGGGGCCCTTGTGTAGGATGCAAGTAGGGGTAAGTCAGTGACAGATTGAAGATAGGCCAGTACAAAGTTCTAAGGTGCTGCATGTCGTGCTGAAGAGTTTGGCTTTTACTCAGACTGAATTGGGAATCAATGGGGGATTTTAAATGGAGCAATGAAGGGACAAGAAAAAAGGCCATTAAGTTACAAACAGAAAAACAGATTAGAAAGATGGGAGAATTGGATTTGGGAAATTAGTTATTGTTGCTGTAATCCCAGGGGGAAATGTTTGAGAGAAGATGGGGTCAAAGATGATGGCCAGTTTTTGTTTTTGTTTTTTTAGAAAATTTGAATGGATAGTGATGCTGCAAAAACCAATCAGTTACTTTTCAAAGGTGTTAGAACTTTTGCTTGGTTGACTGATTTACCTAATGGAAACAGAATTTGTGTCTTTAATATAACTATGTCTTAGACAAGGCCCTTTAATATATAACAAACATTTTGGAATTTAATCCCTTATATTTAGAAATTTCCTGCCAAGAGCCAGAAATTGTAAATGGACGGTCTACATCTCAGAAGAAAACTTACAAAGAAAATGAACGACTTCAATATAAATGTAACAAGGGTTATGAATACAGTGATAGAGGAGATACTGTGTGTACTAAATCTGGATGGACTCCAAGTCCTTCATGTAGAGGTAACATTATATTTCCTTTCTATACATTTTGCTGTATATTTTATAAATTGTTTCCATTCATATACTCCTTAGAGTTAAGCAGTTTATTTTTTCTCACAATGGAGTATTAATGTTTACAGGGATCAACTATTATAGAGACAATATACTTAACATTTTGTGTGCGAGGTCCATTTTGAGAGCAATTAGTATAATTCTCTCATTCTGAAGATAGACATAAAAGGACCAAAAGCATTCAATAGCTCATTAAACAATTGGTTTGTGGTCAAAAAGCAAGTCTAGAGCTGAGCCAGTGTTGTAATAGGCTTCCTAATTCCCAGGTATATACACTTCCCAGATTGCTCTTGTAAAGCTTAGCATTTAGCTATAAAAAGTAAATTATATTAATACCAGATGAGGAAACCCTCCATTGACAATGGAATTAAGTGGAAATAACTGGAGATTTCATTAACCACAGACCTAATATGAATCAACAGTGATGATGAGGCTGGGAAAAAAACAAAAACTCTTTTAGGCTTCAGAATAGGATGTTGTACAGAGCTAGAATCCATCTCACCTGTGTTTGGTGCCCACCAAAAGTCTGGAACATTGTGTTCTACTTAGCCCACCCCCATTTTAAAAGAGATGGTTTCAGGGCGCCTGGGTGGCTCAGTTGGTTGAGCGACTGCCTTCGGCTCAGGTCATGATCCTGGAGTCCCGGGATCGAGTCCCACATCGGGCTCCCTGCTCGGCAGGGAGTCTGCTTCTCCCTCTGACCCTCTTCCCTCTCGTGCTATCTCTCATTCTCTCTCTCAAATAAATAAATAAAATCTTTAAAAAAAAAAAAGGAAAAAAAAGAGATGGTTTCAAACTATCGTGACCTAAAAGAGAGAATGTAGATAGTTGAGTTTAAGAAATTGTATCATGAGAAGAATAGCAAGAGGATACAGCTATAACATGGTAACAACTGTGTTGAGATATTTGCAAACATTTATGGAAAAGAGTGAGTCAACTTCTGTTGAGGGCTGCAGCAGTGAGTGAAACAAGTAACAAGTGCTATCATACATGAAATCAGAGGTCAAGTGCCTTTCTAAAAGGGTGAGTTTTACAGATATTGTCATACTGTGGGCCAGGGTGGTGGGAAATGGTGAGAAGAGTTGAACTCTGAACTTTTAATCATATGATTCATAATTACATGTATAAACCTTGTTTAATGATCCTCTTTTATAATAACTAGAGTTAGCTTTTGAGTCGATTTTATTCTTTTTAAAAAAAATTTGGTTGAATCATATGTTAAAAAAAAAAAAGGAAAATAGCAGGAAGGGAAAAGTGAAGGGGGGGAAATTGGAGGGGGAAACGAACCATGAGAGACTATGGACTCTGAGAAAAAAAACTGAAGGTTCTAGAGGGAAGGGGGGATGGGTTAGCCTGGTGATGGGTATTAAAGAGGGCACGTACTGAATGGAGCACTGGGGTGTTATACGCGAACAATGAATCATGGAATGCTACATCAAAAACTAATGATGTAATGTATGGTGATTAACATAACATAATAAAAAAATACAAAAAAAAATTTGGTTGACTTTTTTTAATTTTAAGTAAGCTCTATACCCAACATGGGGCTTGAACTCACAACCCTGAGATCAAGTGTCACATGCTCTACTGACTGAGCCAGCCAGGCACTCCCTCCACCAAAAAAAAAAAAAAATTAGTTGAGTCCACAAACTCAAGAGCTCCTTGGAAAATATATCCTCCTACAATTGAGTGACCTTCACTTTCAGACATTATTAAGAAAATATTTTACAAAGAGGTTATGAACACAGAACAGTGATCACTCACATTAGATCCATGTTCAGCTGATGATGTGTAGAATTCAGCTGTTTGTCTTCATGGCATTCACAGTTCTTACACAAAGAACGTGGGTGCACAAGTCCTCTGACATTAACTTCTGCCATATGTTTTACTTCCAGAGCCCCACTTAAATATTTAGATAGTTAAATTATCCATCCAGTCATCAAAATATAACTTATAAACCACTTATCTTGTATCAGTCCGCTTGTCCTGTATAAACATTAGAATAAATCATCATTCCAAGTGTCAATGAACATTAGAATAAATCATCATTCCAGGTTTCAATGAAGTTACCTACTTCAAGGTAAGACCTCAGAATCTGAATTCAATTTTGCTTTGACATAAGTTAAAGTTTATTTCCTGTTTATGCTCACTTCCAATGTAGGTCTGAAGGGACTCTGTTCATTATATTAACTGTAAGAATCAAGGGATAGAGACATCATCTTTCCATGGCTTTCCTTAATCACTGCAGCTATGGGAGAAGAGAACATAAAAAATCACAAAATGGCTTTTATAGCTTCCTCCCTGAAGGGAAACGTGTTACTTTACACTCATTTCATTGTCTTATGCAAATCATGGGGCCATGTCTACCTCAAATGGGATATGCAATCCTACCAAGTGTCTGGAAGGAAGAGACTTCGAAGAGAACCACAGATGCCAAGGAAGTTGAAGAATCGTTGGAAAGAATAGTCGAAGTGATATGTCATGAATTTATTGCCACATATGGGATATCATTGATGTGGTGGGAAGGATATGAGACTATACTCATTTTAATCCCCTTTTGTGCTGGGATAGAGACAAAAAATAATATCCACTGCCTTTATTTTTATGTACTTGATTATTTTAATGGGTATATTTAATGGCTACATTATCCACATGTCCTTTTTTTTTTCCCAGAAGCAACATGTACTTCTCCTTATATTCCAAATGGTTACTACACACCTGAAGCCGTCCATTACAGAACGGGAGATGAAATCATGTATTACTGTAAAAATGGCTTTTATCCTGCAACCCATGTAAATACGGCAACATGTACTAGTACAGGCTGGGTACCTCTGCCAAGATGTACTTGTAAGTTCCATTCATATTTTGACATATTTCCTAATTCTGAAATTACTATCTCTTAAACAACAACAACAAAAATGGGGACACAATAAATCCAAATATTTGCCTTACCGTGTATGTAAAGCAGAGGCTACAGAGACATTCTTTTCTCTTCAAAGTAGACAATTCTTTTTTTTTTAAGATTTTATTTATTTATGACAGAGAGAAACACAGCGAGAGGGAAAACACAAGCAGGGGGAGTGGGAGAGGGAGAAGCAGGCCTCCGGCAGAGCAGGGAGCCCGATGCAGGGCTCGATCCTGGGACCCTGGGACCATGACCAGAGCCGAAGGCAGAAGCTGAACAACTGAGCCACCAGGCACCCCAAAGTAGACAATTCTAAGCAGGATCAAAAACATGGTTTTGAATATTGAAAATTCTTTACTTTTTGCTATTTAATGTAAAATATGCATGTGTATGAACATATATTTCTCTAATTTAATTCTAATATCTGAACTAAAACATTTGGTAAGACTAGTGTCATCTAACACCTAATGTATTAGTTATTTATTTAGGTGTAACAAATTTCCCTCAAAATATATTGGCTTCAAACAACAAGCGTTTATCACCTCAGAGTTTCTATGGGTCAGGAATTTGGGAGTGGCTTAGCTAGCTAGTTCTGAGCCAGACACTTCTTGTGTTGTAGTCAGGCTGTTGACCTAGGCTACAGTCACCTGATGGCTCGGCTGGGCTAGAGGATCTGCCTCTAAGATGGCTCACTCATCAAGTTTTTGGCAGGAAGCCTCAGTTCCTTACTGCATGGGCATCTCCATAGGCTACTTATATAGCAGCTAACTTTCTCCAGAGCTTGTGATCTGAGAGAGAGAGAGGGAACCCACTTACAAACTAGTCACGCATTGTCTCTTTAGCCATATCTAGTCTTTAGAAGTCAGTCTTTAAGTCCAGCGTACTCAAGGGGAGGAGAATTAGGCTCCACGTTTTGGAGGGAGGAGAAGACGCTGTAGAATTTTCTAAAGCCATCCCATGTAGCAAAATGCCACTCAATTCAACAAGGTACTGTATTTTATTTCTGGGGAGTGTTTCCTCTGCCCTTTTCTGTCTGTCTCCATTATTATATTCCTTTTCTTTTCATATTGCAGTTGGTTGTAAAGGTATACCACATTTAAACTGGATAATACATGAATAAAAAATGTAATGGTACAAATAATAGGTCAATGGTCTTGATATTAATTCTAGGCATAAGTCCAAAATGAATTTTCAAATCAAAAGACCCCTAAAGAAGATCCCATCATCAGTATGAAACAGACTTTAATGTGTAAAACAATTATAATGAAAATATTGATTGATTGAGATGTAATTGACATATAACATTATCTTAGTTTTAAGTGTGCAACACGATTTGATATTTGTATATACTGTGAAATAATTACAAACACAATTCTAGTTAAATCCATCACCACACATAGTTATAAATTTTTTTCCTTGTGAGATAAACTTTTAAGATCTACTCTCTTAACGACTTTCAAATATACAATGCAGTATTAATAACTAGAGTCACCAGGCTGTACATTACATCCCTATAATTTAATTATTTTATTACTGGAAATTTGTACCTTTTGGACCCCTTTGCCCATTTCTCCCACCCCCATGCCTTGCCTCTAGCAACCACCAATCTATTCTCTTTATCTAGGATTTTGGTATATTCAGATTCCAAATATAGCTCATATGGTATTTTTCTTTGATTTATTTCACTTAGCATAGTGCCTTCAAAGTCCATCCATGTCATCACAAATGGCAATATTTCCTTCTTTTTTGACTGAATAGTTTATATATATGTCACATTTTCCTTATGCACTCATCGATCAATGGACACTTAGATTGCTTCCATATCTTGGCTATTATAAATAATGCTGCAATGAACATGGGGTATGTATGGCTTTTCAAGTTAGTGTTTTACTTTCTTTCAGAAAAATACCCAGAAGTGGAATTGCTGGATCATATGGTAGTTCTATTAATTTCTTGAGAAATCATACTGTTCAAACAGTGACTGCACCAATCTACATTCCCACTAACAATGCAGAAATGTTCCCTTTCTCTACATCCTCACCAACACTTGTTATTTTTTTCTTTTTGATGACAGCCATTTTAACAAGTGTGAAGTAATATCTTATTGTGATTTCGATTTGCATTTCTCTGATGATAAGTGAAGTTGAGCATCTTTTCATATGCTTGTTGCCCATCTATATTTCTTCTTTAGAAAACTGTCTATTCAGATCCTCTGCCCATGTTTTATTCAGATTGGGCTTTTTGTTGTTGTTGTTGTTATTGAATTGTATGAGTTTTTAAAGTATATTTTGGATATTTACCCTTTATCAGATATATGATTTGCAAATATTTTCTCCTATTCAGTAGGTTGCCTTTTCAGTTTGTTGATGGTTTCCTTTGCTATGCAGAAGCTTTTAGTTTAATGCAGTCCCACTTGTTTAGTTTTGCCTGTGTTGCCTTTGCTTTTGGTGTCAAATCTAAAAAATAATTGCCAAGACGAATGTCAAAGAGCTTATCCCCTATGTTTTCTTCTAGGAGTTCTATTGTTTCAGGTCTTACATTCAAGTCTTTAATCCATTCTGTGTTGGTTTTGGTATATGGTGTACATAGTGGTCCAGATTCATTCTTTTGCATGTGGCTGTCCAGTTTTCTCAACACCATTTATTGAAGAGACTGTCCTCTACCCACTGTTATTCTTGGCTTCTTTATCATAAACTATCTGACCTTATATGCATGAGTTTATTTCTAGGCTGTCTGTTCTATTGAACTATGTGTCTGGTATTATGCCAGTACCATACTGTTTTGATTACTGTAACTTTGTAATATAGTTTAAAACCTAGACGTATGATGCCTCCAGTTTTGTTCATTTTCAAGATTTCTTTGACTATTTGGATTCTTTTGTGGCTCCAAACAAATTTTAGGATTGTTTGTTCTATTTCTGTGAAAAATGCCATTGGAATTTTGATTGGAATTGTACTGAATCTAGATTGTTTGGGTGGTATGGACATTTTAACAATATTAACCCTTGCAATCCATGGACATGGACTATCTTTCATTTATTTGTGTCTTTGATTTATTTCATCATTGTCTTATAGTTTTCAGGGTACAGATTTTTCACCTCCTTGGATAGATTTATTCCTAGATATTTTATCCTTTTTGATGCTATTGTAAATGGGATTGTTTTCTTAATTTCTCTTTCTGATAGTTTATTATTAGTGTATAGAAACACACCAGATTTTTGTACATTGATTTGTATCCTGCAACTTCACCAAATTCATTTATTAATTCAAACAAGTTTTGGTGGCGTTTTTAGGGTTTTCTGTGTATAATATCACATCATCTGAAAATAGTGAAAGTTTTACTTCTTCCTTTCTGAGTGGATGCCTTTTATTTCTTTTTCTTGCCTAATTACTCTAGCTAAGACTTCTAATACTATGCTCAGTAAAAGTCGTGAGAGTGAGCATTCTTATCTTTTTCCTGATCTTAGAGGAAAAGCTTTTCACTATTGAGTAAAAAGTTGGTGTGAGCTGGTCATATATAGGCTTTATACATTGAGGTATGTTCCCTCTACACCCACTTTGTTAAAAGTTTCATCATAAAAATTGTTTAATTTTATCAAATGCATTTTGTGCATCTATTGAGAGGATGATCATATGCTTTTTATACTTCATTTTGTTAATGTGGTGTATCACATTGATTTGTGGATATTGAACCATCCTTGCATCCCTGGAATGAATCCTGCTTGATCAAAGTGTATTATCCTTTTAATGTATTGTTGAATTCAGTTTGCTAATATTTTGTTGAAGATTTTTACACCTGTTTTTCAGGTATTGGCCTGTAATTGTCTTTTCTTCTGGGGTTTTTCTCTGGTTTGGGTATCAGAGTAACACTCGCCTCATAAAATAACTTTGGAAGTGTTCCCTCCTCTTCTATATTTTTGAAGAGTTAGAAAAGGATTGGCATTAATCCTTTTTAAATGTTGGTAGAATTCACCAGTGAAGCCATCTGGTCGTGGACTTTTGTTTGTTGGGAGGTTTTTGATTACTGATTTAATCTCCTTGCTAGTAATTGGTCTTTCATAGTAGTCTCTTATGAGCCTTTATATTTCTCTGATATCAGTTGTATGCCTCCTCTTTCGTTTCTGATTATATATATATATCATTTCTGATATATATATCTGATTATAAATATAATCAGAAAAGATATTTGATACAATTTCAATCTTCTTAATATTATTAAGACTTGTTTTGTGATATAACATATGTCTATCCTGAAGGATGTTCCATGTGTACTTGATAAGAGTTTGTATTCTGATAGTTTTAGATGGATGTTCTGTGTATGTCTGTTAAGTCCATTTGGTCTAACATGTTGCTTTATGTCAGTGTCTCCTGATAGATTTTCTGTCTGAATGATCTATCCATTGGTGAAAGAGGGAGAATTAATTTATTGTATTGCTATTTCTCCCTTTATTTCTGTTCATATTTGCTTTACATTTTAGGAGCTCCTATGCTGACTGCTTAAAATTTACAAGTATTATATCCTCTTGTGGGATGAGCCCTTCTGTGTAATGACCACCTTTGTCTTTTATTTCAGGCTTTGCTTTAAAGTCTATTTTGTCTAAGTGTAAATACACTAGTTTTTTTCTTTTTTCCTTTTTTTTTTTTTTTTTGGTTTTTGTTTGCATGGAATGTCTTTTTCTATCCCCTCACTTTCAGTCTATGTGTCCTTACATCTGAACTGAGCCTCTTGTAGGCAGCATATAGATGGGTCCTTTTTTTTTTAATCTATTCAGCCATGTTATATCTTTTGATTAGAAGATTTAGTACATTTATATTTAAAGTCATTATTGATAGGTGTGCACTTATTGCCACTTTGTTATTCGTTTTCCCACTGTCTTGTAATTTCTCTGGTCCTTTCTTCTTCTCTTGCTTTATTCCTTTGTGATTTTATTATTTTCTGTAGA